AGCATTGGTACTGCTGCGCTAGGTGCTTGTGAGGCTGCTGCTCTAGGTGCCAGTGTGTCTGCGCTCTCAGGTACTGGTGAGACTGCGCTCTCAGGTACTGCGTCGTCCTCGTCCTCCCTCACTTTCACACTTGACTCCGGGGCTTCTCGCTCCTTCTTTCGAGACCGCACTACCCTTACGCCGCTCGGCCGGCCGGTTGCAGTCTCCCTTGCTGACCCCTCTGGGGGTCCTGTCCTGTCTCACTTCTCCATTGTCCTCCCGTGACCGGCTGCCCCTTCGGGCACCCTGTCTGGTCTGTACCTCCCCTCGTTCTCTACGAACTTGGTGAGTGGTGCGGACCTGCAGGATGCGGGGGTTCACCAGTTCACTCCTGCGAGTCAGCGGGTGACCCACTGCACGGCCGCACGCACAGGCCGACACCTGGCCACCTTCTCGCGTCGGCCGGGGTCGAGTCTCTACACCCTGACCACTTCGTCTCCTCCTGTCCCTGCGTCCGGTCAGGTAGCTGCGTCAGGTCAGGTGCTTGCTGCTGCGTCCCGGTCAGGTCCTGAGTCTGCCCCCTGCTCTTGTCGCATCCTGTCTCACGAGACTCTCCTGTGGCACCACCGTCTTGGCCACCCCTCCTTGCCCCGTCTTCGGAGCATGGCTTCCCGTGTCCTTGTCTCTGGTCTTCCCCAGTCTCTCCCTCCTCTCCCCTCCGGGCCAGGACCTTCCTGTGTTCCCTGTGTCGAGGGTCGCCTCCGGGCTACTCCTCACTCCTCCCACTTCCCCCCGACAGAGGCTCCCCTGCAGACGCTTCACATGGATGTGTGGGGCCCAGCCCCCGTCCGTGGGCAGGGTCACGAGCGCTACTTCCTGTTGGTGGTTGACGACTACTCGCGTTACACCACAGTCCTCCCCTTGCGCAGCAAGGGTGCGGTCACTGAGGTGCTGATCGACTGGATCCGCGAGGCTCGTCTCCAGCTCAGGAAGAGCTTCGGCTCGAACTTTCCTGTTCTGCGTCTGCACTCGGACAGAGGCGGAGAGTTCTCTTCTCGCCTTCTGCGAGACTACTGTCGTGCACGGGGGATCCGCCAGACCTTCACGCTTTCGGACTCACCACAGCAAAATGGGATTGCTGAGCGCCGCATTGGCATGGTCATGGATGTCGCTCGTACGTCCATGATGCATGCGGCTGCCCCCCATTTTCTGTGGCCGTTTGCGGTGAGGTACGCGGCGCATCAGCTCAACCTTCACCCCCGGGTCTCTCGGCCTGCGATGTCCCCAGCCTTGCTGTGGACGGGGAAGGTCGGCGATGCGTCTGTGTTCCGTGTCTGGGGATCTCGGGCGTTTGTCCGCGACTTGTCTGCGGACAAGCTGTCCCCTCGTGCTGCTCCCTGTGTCTTCCTTGGCTTCCCCACTGACGCCCCAGGGTGGCAGTTTTACCACCCCTCCTCTCGTCATGTTCTGTCCTCCCAGGACGTCACGTTCAACGAGTCAGTCCCCTTCTACCGTCTCTTCCCCTACCGCACTCCTTCCCTCCCCCCTCCCCCGGACTTCCTTGTGCCGGTTCCCCCCCCGGTAGACCCCCTCCCCCCTCAGGTTCCTGCCCCCTCAGGTGTGTCCCAGGTAGATGCCGTTGACCCGGTCGAGGTTACTGGTGACTCTAGTGCTGCTGCGGGTGCTGAGCCTGGGGGTGCTGACTCTGAGGGTGCTGTGCGCGAGGGTGCTGAGCCTGGGGGTGCTACTGCTGGGGGTGCTGGGCCTAGGGGTGCTACTGCGGAGGGTGCGGAGCCTGGGGGTGCTGAGCCGGGGGGTGCTGTGCCTGGAGGTGCTGGGTCTGGGGGTGCTGGGTCGGGAGCTGCTGAGCCTGGGGGTGCTGAGCTGGGAGCTGCTGAGCCTGAGGGTGCTGCGTCTGGAGCTGCTGAGCCTGGGGTTTCTCCTGCTGCTGCGTCTTGTCGGGAGCCCCTCTCTCCACAGGAGCTGCGCGAGTGGTTCGCTCGCCGCTGGAGGCGTGCTGCTGAGTCTGGAGGTGCTGCTGGAGCTGGAGCTGGAGCTTCTTCGACCAACGAGGGTGCGGGTGCTGCCGATCCCGGAGCTGCTGGACCTGCGGGTCCTCCTGGAGCTGGAGCTGCTGAGGGCGTTGGTGCTGAGCCTACTACTGTTGGTCCTGCCGCTGGTGGTGTGGGTGGCGCTAGTGCTGTCGCTGAGGGTGTTGGTGCTGTCCCTGCTGAGTCTGGAGCTGCCGCGCGGCCTCGGCCGTACTTCGTTCCGCTCCTGCAGCAGGTTCTTGGTCTTTCTCCTCCAGTAGAGGGTCCACCGCCTGTCCAGTCGCAGTCCCTGCTGGAGCCTTCCTCTCCACCGCATGCTCCCTCTCCTTACACTGGTCCTACTGGAGGTCTTGCTGAGCGTCGTGAGCCTGCGTCTCGTCCCGCGTCGCCTGTTCGTGCTGCTCGCGCTAGTGGTCGCAGTTCGCGTCAGCGTCCTCCTCCTGTCCCTGGCACGCACCGGATGTCTTTGCGTCCGTCCACTGCTCCTCTGCGTGCCCCTTTGCCTTCTCCTCCTGAGTCCTCTCTTCCTGCGCTTGCCGACCCTGAGTCGGACTCTCTTCGTGCTGCCAGTCCTACTGCCACGCGTCTGCTTGCTACTGTCGTCACTGACCCCTCTTTTGAATCCACTGCTGCGTCTGCTCTGGTCGCTGAGCTCGTCGACTTTGCTGCTCGCTGTCGTCTCGACTACGCTGCTAGTCTTGTTGCTGAGTCTGCGTCTGTCTGTCCTCCGTCCGTCGCGGGTGAGTGTGCTCTTGGCACGGACGTCCTAGAGGACAGGCAGGAGGAGTTACAGTGTCTAGCGGCTGCTTCACCTCATCTCGCGTCTGTACTGCTTGCCCCTGAGGGAGACCCGGATGCACTAGACATCCCAACTCCGCGTTCTTACGCGAAGGCCGTAGAGGGTCCCTACTCCTCTCAGTGGCAGGCAGCTATGGATGCAGAGATGGCTTCCTGGAATTCCACAGGCACCTACGTTGACGCGGTTCCCCCTCCTGGGGCGAACATCGTCAGTGGCATGTGGATCTTCAGGGTGAAGCGGCCGCCGGGCTCTCCACCTATCTTCAAGGCACGGTACGTTGCTCGTGGCTTCAGTCAGCAGCAGGGAGTTGACTACTTTCAGACCTTCTCTCCCACCCCGAAGATGACTACTCTTCGGGTGCTGCTGCACATAGCCGCTCAGCGCGACTATGAGCTTCACTCTCTCGACTTCAGCACTGCGTTCTTGCAGGGTAGCCTGCACGAGGAGATCTGGCTTCGCCGTCCACCTGGCTTCACTGGGACTTTCCCTCCTGGCACCCAGTGGAGCCTCCGACGGCCAGTCTACGGTCTCCGCCAGGCACCGCGTGAGTGGCACGACACACTGAGGACGACGCTTGCGGCTCTTGGGTTTGCTCCTTCTACTGCTGACCCGTCGCTGTTTCTTCGCACCGACACTTCCCTGCCGCCGTTCTACATCCTCGTGTACGTCGACGACTTGGTCTTTGCCACAGCGGACACTACTGGATTCGCCTACGTGACGTCCGAGCTGCTGAAGAGACACACGTGCACAGACCTCGGTGAACTGCGCAGCTACCTTGGCTTGCAGATCACTCGGGACAGAGCACGCCGCACCATTACCTTGACTCAGTCACACATGGTGCAGCAGGTCCTTCAGCGCTTCGGCTTCACGTACTCCTCGCCTCAGGCCACTCCTCTGCCTACTCGCCACTCACTCTCAGCTCTGCCTTCGGATGAGTCCGTAGAGTCGAGTGGTCCGTATGCAGAGCTTGTTGGCTGCCTCATGTACCTGATGACCTGCACACGACCTGACCTTGCATACCCTCTGAGCATTCTTGCACGCTATGTTGCTCCTGGGAGACACAGACCAGAGCACATGGCTGCAGCGAAGAGGGTATTGCGCTACCTGTGCAGTACGTCGGGCATGGGGCTAGTGCTTGGAGGGCGGAGTCCAGTGGTCCTTACCGGCCACGCGGACGCTTCTTGGGCTGACGACCAGGCTACGCAGCGGTCGTCACAGGGTTACACCTTCAGCCTTGGTTCCGGCTCTGTCTCGTGGCGGTCTACTCGCTCGTCTTCGGTTCTCGGCTCCAGTTGTGAGGCTGAGATCTACGCCGGGGCCATGGCTGCACAGGAGCTTCGCTGGCTCACCTACCTGCTGACTGACCTTGGAGAGCCGCCTCGTTCTCCTCCAGTGCTGTACGTAGACAACAAGGCCATGCTGGCCTTGTGTCGAGAGCAGCGCTTGGAGCACAGAACGAAGCACATTGCTCTCCGCTACTTCCTTGCTCGTGAGCTGCAGCAGCGTGGTCAGTTGCGACTTGCGTACGTGGCCTCTGAGGCCAACACTGCTGATGTGTTCACCAAGGCACTCGCGCCTTGTGACCATCAGCGCTTTTGCACTCAGCTGGGTCTTGTGCCTGTCTTGCCTCACTTGCTCTCCTCTTGACTTCACTTGTACTGTGACATATATATATACCTGCTCTTGCTTGTCTAGTTTTTATATATATGTCTGTACTCCTGCATGTGAACTGGCCTCTGGCCCTGCTCTTGTGCTCGGACTGTGTGGTGACTTTGTGATCCACCCTGAGCTTGCTTTGCTTTGCTTGACTGGTCTTGTGACCCCTTGTTCTCCCCCACTTTGCCTATGGGGGTGTGTCAAACATTATATATGTTATGCTTGTGTAGGCTACAGTTGGTTAGCCTATAGGGGGTACACAATTCTAGGGTTTCCTACTTGTACTCATTTCACTGCTAGTTCATTCATTCCTGTTCGCTTATTCTCACAAACATTTCAGGGTAACACTTGTTACAGCATGTAACACGACGTACACTGTTTTCAATACACCACATATTTTGCTATAATTAATATCCAGCCAGGTTTTTCTTTCCAATAAAAATAATAACAAAAAACACAAACAGCGGCAACAAACTGTGGCATCACATGGGAGCAAAACCAACAGCACACACAGTCTACACCCCATCATCCTCATTTTCCTCGCCTTCCACGCTTGCATTAACATCTGCAAAATCCATGTCCTCCTTCTCATCCCCCACAATCTCCTCCGGCAGACCCCTCACTTCCTCCAATGGTGGGTACTTGATGAGGGACTGGGGGAGGGGCGCAAAGCGGAAAGGGCGGAACAAAAAGGGGATGGGGGCGGATGAGTTGAGCATTTGACGATTGATAGGCGGAAAAACGGCAGCGACATCAAATCAATCTCACTGGCCATCCCCATCCCCATTCCGACTTCCCCTCTTCTCCCAGTCCCCTTTCCCCCTCACCTCAATGAGGCTCGAGCCGTCCCCCGTTCCGCACCGCCCGCCGCACTCCCCCACTTGCGGAGCTTGCGCGTCCTGCTCTGCCATGCGCGAGTAAAACGAATCCGCGCCGCCCACAATATAGCCACCCTCGCTGCCGTGAATCGCGTCGAGCAGGCGGTGGTCGAGAGTGTGGCTCTCCGCACGGGCGAAGTAAAGCCCGCGAGAGGCATTGCGCCCTTGCTGGAGAGTTGGAGACTGGAGGGCGGCGGCGAGGGCAGCCCCAGATAGCGCGCTGGGGGAGATGGGGAGCAGTGAAGGACGGGGGAAATGGGCGGGAAGCAAGGGAAGGGGGGGGAGGGGGGGAGGGGGGGTGGGGAGGGGGGAAACGGGAGGGAGGGGAGGCGGCTGTGAAAAGGTGGGCCCAGCAACGCCAAAAGCCCCCTCTGCTACCCTCACAAGCCTTCATTCCCCCCACTCCCTCCCTTCCGTTCCCCCCATCGCACCACCCGCCCGCACTGCAACCCTCACAAGCCCCACTGGCAGCAGCACGCACCCAAGTAGTTGATCTTCAGGCGGCCATCGGAGAAGCGCTCCAACGCCTCGATGTAACTCATGCCGTAGAGCGGCAGGTCAGCACGCAGGAAGCGCTGGGAGCCGTCATGGTTGTTGCCTGCGTCCACCCGGGAGTCGCCATTCACAAAGAGCGCTGTGATGGTTAAGAGTGTCGAGCAGCGCTGCTGGTGTGAATTGGGGGAAGTAGGGAGGGAGAGGGGAGGGTAGTGGTCAGGGAGAAGAAAGGAGGTGAGAGAGTGGGGACGAGGGGGGGGTGGAAGGAAGGGAGGGCACGGCGTGGCAGCCCTGAACGACAGCATGGAGAGATTCCTCAAGCAATGCGCAAGACCCCTACAGACCCACTCGCTCACCAGCCTCACTCACTCCACCGCCCCACGCTACCCAGCGACAGCACACCCCCCTGCATGCCATCGCGCCCCATCCCTATTGCCTGGATCCGACACTAGCGGCGTTGCGCCACCTCTCTTGCCCCCCTGCTCAATCACCTCACATGCCCCACATACACCTCTCACCATCTCTCCCTCGCTCCCTCTCTCCTTCCCCCCCCACAGCCCCTCCCCACCCCACTTCCCTCCCTACTCCAACGCCACCTCCCCTCTCTCCCCTCCCTGCCCCTCCACCACCGACTTCGCTACGCGCCTGCGCGCTTCACGGGGGCACCACTGCCGCACACCGTCACCGCAATTGCGCCCACCACGACCACCGCTGCTCCCAGCGCCAGCCGCACCACCGCCAGCCGCGCTCTCCGTGGACGAAGCCGGCAGAGGCAGCGCGCGCTGCTCCGCGCAGCGGCGGATGCAGATACCCCCGTGCGCGCACCCACCATCGCGCAACAGAGGTCCGGCGGGTGGGCGCGGGAGATCGGCGGAGGCAAGAGGAATATCCACCGCCGTAGAGACACGTGCTATGCCACCCCTCACCATTAGAGAAGCTCACAGCGGCAACGGTCTCGCGTACCTCGTTTGCGCAGTCGTAGTCGGACGCGCGTACCCGAGTAAGCGCGACTCGCGCTGTATCGTGGTCGAATAAAGAGGGGAAAAGGGATAAGGGAGGAGAAAAGGGGAAGGGAAGATTAAATAAGGTGAGGAAAGAGAGAAGACCTGAGTGTCAAGTTGGAGACTGGAGGGAGTAGCGAGTCAGTAGCGAGTATAGCCACAGTGCATCTCGAAATACATAGTACTCACTCCCACTGTCCAAACCACCCCCCCCAAAAAACAAATTTGGGATGTTCAATTTGCAGCCCCGCCATCACTTCAACGTCGCGTTGCCCTCACTTCCCCGTCGCGTCGCCCTCACTTCCGATGTTGAGACATTTCCAGCGAGCAGCAGCGCGCATGAGAAAGTTTAGCAGAGGAAATGACTCAACAATCTGCAGGCCCGCCGCCATCACGTCCCCATCCCGTCGCCATTGCCCGTCCCATCGCCATTGCCCGTCCCGCCGCCATTGCCCGTCCCGTCGCCATTGCCCGTCCCGTCGCCATTTCCCGTCCCGTCGCCGTCACTTTCTTTTTATGTTGATTTTGAGAATTCTCAAAATCAGCCTTCAATCTGCAGTCCAGCCACCATCACTTCCCCGTCGTGTCGCCCTCACTTCCGCCTTCCCATCTCCCTCACTTCCCTTTCTCCTCGCCCTCATTTCCCCTTCCCGTCCCTTCAGCTCCCCAGTCGTCCACAAATCACCTATCCTAAGCCCTCCCCTTTCCATCCGTTTCCCCCCTGCCTCCATTCACTTTCTCCCCCCTGCTTTCCTTCACTTTCCTCCCTTCATCCCTTCCCCCCTTCCTCATTTCTGTTTCCCCCTTGCCTCCCATCCGTGTCCCCCGTGCCTCCATTCACTTTCTCCCCTGCCTCCATTCACTTTCTCCCCCTTCGTTCCTTCAGTTTCATCCCTTCCTCCCTTCAGTTTCCCCCCTTCCTCCTTTCCGTTTCCCCCCTGCCTCCCTCCGATTTCCCCCCTTTGTTGTTCTCACTCCCGCCGTCTAGTCTCCTTTCACACACTGCTGTTTTCGTTTTGGACCCCACTCAATCCCCCTTCACTAACCCGATTTCTCCCTTGCTCGGCTCACTCTTTCCTTTCCCCATATTTTCTTTCCTCCTCTGCTCACTCTTTCTCCCTCCACTCACCCAAATGCTTCCCTGGACACTCTCTCATCACAAACTACCGGACCTTGGTTTGGTCCAAAATAAGTCCAAACTTGGTGTTTTCTGCCAAAATCAGACAAACTTTGGTCCATTGCTTTGGACCAAGAATGGTGTGGCTGCATACATGAACTCAGCCCTAATTTGACATAAAACAGGGACTAAATACTACATACCATTTCAACATCAAGATGGACCAAAATCAGTCCAACATTGGACAAACCTGAGCATGCCATATACAGGGCTTTCATGCCAGTCTGGGCTAGTAAATTTGTTGCAAATGAGAATTATATTAAACTGTATAAGTTCAATCCAATACATAAAAAGGTTATTAAAGTTCTACACCTCATCTAGTTGTTCTACACCTAACCTACCACCATCCACCATCTACGTCAATCAAGACTAAATCAAACGGCTTCCTGCCTACCGGCTACTACACCCAACAGCTTCATTCGTTGCTTGAAACTACTCTTCACCTCCTCATTCGTTACTACTCCCATCATGGCTCCTCGCAACATGGCTCCTCCCAACATGGCGCCTGTCCATCACTACTACATCCGAATGCTTCTCCGATCACAGCAAACTACATCCAGCATGTTGCAACTGTGATCTCTCGTCTTTGCTACCTCCAACCACTATGCAGCCCGTCGCTGCTACTCCTAACCACTTTGCAGCCCATCTCTGCTGCTCCCAAACACTCTGCAGCCCGTCTCTGCTACTCCCAACCACTCTGCAGCCCGTCTCTGCTACTCCCAAACACTCTGCAGCCCGTGTCTGCTACTCCCAACCACTCTGCAGCCCGTCTCTGCTACAACCAACTGCTCTGCAGCCCTTCTCTGCTACTCCCAACCACTCTGCAGCCCTTCTCTCCTACTCCCAACCACTCTGCAGCCAGTCTCTACTACTCCCAACCACTCTGCAGCCCGTCTGCTACTCCCAACCACTCTGCAGCCCGTCTCTGCTACACTCAACCACTCTGCAGCCCACCTCTGCTACTCCCAACCACTCTGCAGCCCACCTCTGCTACTCCCAACCACTCTGCAGCCCACCTCTGCTACTCCCAACCACTCTGCAGCCCACCTCTGCTACTCCCAACCACTCTGCAGCCCGTCGCTACTACTCCCAACCACTCTGAAGCCCGTCTCTGCTACTCCCAACCACTCTGCAGCCCACCTCTGCTACTCCCAACCACTCTGCAGCCCACCTCTGCTACTCCCAACCACTCTGCAGCCCACCTCTGCTACTCCCAACCACTCTGCAGCCCGTTGCTGCTACTCCCAACCACTCTGGAGCCCGTCTCTGCTACTCCCAACAACTCTGCAGCCCACCTCTGCTACTCCCAACCACTCTGCAGCCCACCTCTGCTACTCCCCCACACTCTGCAGCCCACCTCTGCTACTCCCAACCACTCTGCAGCCCATCTTCACTGCTTCCAACCACTCTGTAATGTGTATCTACTACTTCCAGCCACACTCCAGCCCTTCTCTACTACTTCCAACCACTCTGCAGCCCAGCTTTGCCACTTTCCAACTTCATTCTGACTCTGTAGCACGTTTTTGCTACCTCCAACCACTCTGCAGCCCATCTCTACCACTCCCAGCCACTCTGAAGCCCATCTCTGCTACCAGCTACCACTCTGCAACCCATATCCACAACTTCTAACCACTCTGTAGCCCAAGGTTAATGCTTCCAACCACTCTACTATGTCCCATCATGCTCCAGCTCTTTCTACTTCCAACCACTCTCCAGTGCAACTCTACAACTTCCAGCCACCTTGCACATCCCTGCTACTTCCACACATGGTCCAAATCCCTCATGTGCCACCATTCAGGGAGGGGTTGCGCGAACTTGCTGCGCAGTCCTCGAAGCTGCCTGCCTCCGCTGGAGGGTTTATACAAATAGGAAAGATAACATGAATTAGTACAAAAACATATCAAACAAACATATTATTTCATATCAACATCATCCATGCATACTTACAAGGTACTCTTTCACCACCGACTCGGAATCCGAAGCGTCAATGTACACCGCATTCGGAAAAACGAAGGGGTGCATGCTCCTGTCATACGCAACTCCGAGGTCGAGCACAGCATGCTCGACCAACCTCTTAACATGAGCGCACATGACCTCATAATTTGTGCGATTCGTATCCCACTTTGTGGGAAGCTTCCCATCTGGCGCATTGTGCAGCAACGGCCACTCCACCTGACGATAAAAGGGGCAAAAAAAAGGGTTCAAGCAAGCATGTGATCAAGGTGAAAAATATGATGTTGGGGTTATTGGCTAACAAGCTTCCATTAGTAAGGATGTTGGATTATGTGAATCCTACTTTGCACAACCATATAACCCTGAACTAATTATGGATAACTTTGTATACTCACAGCATACAAGATCCACGCCAACTGACGGATCTTGAACTTCTCAGTGTTGACGCCTCTCCTTGTCAGGGCTAAGCGGACACAAACTGCGAAGATCTGTGTCGAGAAAGGCACGCCGTTAAGAAAATGCCATGCTAACGTCCCCTCATCTATTTGAATAAGGGTGAAAAGGAGAATGGAAACCATTTGAGAGAATGGCAGCATGTGAAAGAATCGCAGTATTTGAGAGAATGGCAACTAATGAAAGAGTGACAATGAGTGAGAAAAGTATGACCAATTATGTCAACCTGTGACATGCTTGACAATATGTGAGGAGAGAAAATGGCACCATGTGCAGACACCATTTCAAAGCAAGAATATGCAACACAACATAAAAAAATCCAAACTCACCATCCATGTACTTATCAACTAATTCCTGATCAGAGTAGAAGATATCAGGCCGTGGCAGCTCCGGAGGTAGGTTGTTGACATAGCTTCGCGCTGCACTGCGTCCAAGAGCAGCCAGCAAATACTTCCGTAGAAAACCATCGATAGTTGTCCGCGTCGTTGACATCAGCTCCAGAAAGACCCCGCGTGTGGCAGGGTCAAGGTGCTCGAACAAGACAATCAATGTCTTCAAAGCATCCGTTGGCAAAAACTGCTTGAAACCCAGCTCCATTGCCTCCCGATCCGAGGGATAAAACTGAATCTGGTCTGCTGCGTTGGTGTACATCAAGCGCGTTGCCACACGTTTGGCTAGTTCCTGTAAAAGATGGGTTTAGGGTACATAAGAGGTAATACACTAAAACATTGCATTTGTTCAAATCATGAGGGCTAAGGATGGGTTGGAGCCTAGGGTTTAGAACACCAGAGCAAACTAAGGGATGGGCAAATAAAAGGGCTAACAAAGGGGAGAAAAAGTACAAGGGTGGGGAGAAAGGGCAGTAGGGTTGGACATAGAATGCAACATAGAAAGCAGCACAGGTTTCTAAACATTACAACAGCTTAGAACAAAACACCATAAACAAGATAAACAATGCCGTATCAACTTTTTCATAATACAATCCCCATGCGAATTTACACCCCATTTCCCCATGCCTCTTTACAATCCCCATGCCTCTTGTCAAGATATACTCACCCATTAGTCTTCCACATGCCTCATGACGATCGATTTCGCCAGCAGAACGGGACTCTCGGTGGAATCCGAGTCAGTTGACATTGCAGGGTTCACCGCAGGGACGGATCGGGCAATCACAAGTGTTCCTTGAGATGGATTTGACAATCCGCTCGATGGAATTCCTGCCACCAATTCGCGTATCGCTGCTAACTTCTCCATCACCTTGCCTTCTAGCGCAAGGAACTCTGCCTTTGACACTCCTCCACTGTTCTGACGGTTAAGACCACTAGGTCCTGCCTGATTGGCCATG